TTAGAACATGCATTTGCTGGCCACGTTCATTTAAAACAAAATCAGTTACTAACTCCATAGGTAATATTTTTTTATCCGAACGCTAAAAGGTTTAGATAAAAACTGGTATGAGCCAATTGAGCTATTAAAGCATACATAGAACAGACTTAATTGTACGGATGTGCCGTATAAATAAGTTACCCCAATAGTCACCCCTTCTACCCAAGTAAGATAATGTTGTTTTGATTGGTTTTGAAAATTGTATTTTGACAAACGGTAATTAAGAATATGTTACAATTGGCAAATATGAAAATAAGTACCTATCTCTAATTTAAATTGAATGTAAAACTGCTTATGATTTTAAAACCAAATCATATTGGTTTTGGTTTTGAAAATTGTATTTTGACAAAGGTAATTAAGAATGTGTTACAATTGGCAAATTTGAAAATAATTACGTATTTCTAATGTAAATTGAATGTAAAACTGCTTATGATTTTAAAACCAAATCATATTGGTTTTGGTTTTGAAAATTGTATTTTGACACAGGTAATTAAGAATGTGTTACAATTGGCAAATTTGAGAATAAGTACCTATCTCTAATTTAAATTGAATGTAAAACTGCTTATGATTTTAAAACCAAATCATAATATGTAAAAGCTTTTAACGGATTAATATGAATGTTTTGCATTTCGAGGTCTGAAAATTTGGTACCACAATATTGCAAAAATTATGCAAAAATTTGTATTCAACAGAATAATAACATTCCTAATTATTTTTACCTACCAATATAAAATGAAAAAACATTACTCACAAAAATTTAATTTTATTTGGGCAATTTTAAATTTTTTTACTTATTTCTGTTTTTAAACATTATTTGTTATTTTTTAAAGTATTTTCATGAGTAGATTATTAACTTATTTATTTTAATTATTTTAGGTTTTGATAACGACTTTGTAGCTGAAACTGATCTCATCATTTTTTCTTAACCTATAGTTGAGTGCGTATTCCATTTATAATAATATACTCCATTACTTAATAAAAAGGGATCAAAGTATCTAGGGTTTTCCCAATAAAAATTGGTTTTAAGCTTTTAATGAGTTTCTTTAAATTAGAATATTAAGGCATTATTATTACAAAGTGGTTCCAGGTCAAAGTGCTGAATTGGTCTCAAAAGGGTCGCTTTGAAAAGGTACCTGCCTGCCTGGTGCTCAGTTGGCCGGTCTACATTTATTACATCTAGAGCTTGGTGCTTAATTGGCTCATACCCATGAATATATTTGGAACCTAAAGAAGTTTATTACGCGATTTTACCATTTTTGTTTTTGAGATATTTCATAAAAATCAAAAAGTTGCATTTTCTAAATTATGCTCTAGCTTTTTTATTGCTCACTATTTTGGAAATATGTTTTTTGAAGTAACTTCTTATGTAGATATTTGATCTGCAATATTCACAATTTAGGGGTTTTCTGTATTTTTTTTTCTCATGTTGGCAGAATACTAAATGTAAAAATGTCAATTCCTTCAATTCATTTGTCATCTGTTTCCTTCATCTGTCATTTGCCTTTAATGGTGCATCGACAGACTTCAAAATGAAATCGTTATCTTTTCGGTTGTTTTTTCCCCGGGAAAATACTGTTTTAAAAGTGTCAAAAATCTATTTTTAAAAACGGCCATATGATATAAGTATTAGTAAGTATTAGTGGGTTTGAATGTAGGTGACGCGTTGAAAATAAAACACAAAAAAAATTTACTTTTTTTATTTTTTGTACATAAGATCAATTCTCCTTTTAAACTTGCAAAATTATCTGTTATATAATCAAAAAATGGCTTTGATCGTATAAGTTTATTTAAGAGTGTCTTTTCAATTGAACAAATTCAATGTCATTAAACATATTTAAGTAGTCCTGGCTCTGTCTTATTAAAGCTTGATCAGAATTTGGATCGTTTAAAATGTCATTAAAAATTTGTTTTAGAGAATTTCAATTATTATGAATAAGATTCAAAATCTTGGAAATAGTAATAGATGACCATCTTGTTACTACTGAAGTGGATATTCGCTTATTGAGGATCACATCAGCGGCGTGAGTTCTTTTTACTGAACGATGAAACAAAGAAGGCAGACCATTCTAGGGTTGCCACCTTTTCAGAGAGGGGAAGGAGGACATAGTATTAAGAATCAGTGGTGATTGACCCCAAAAATGTTTGGGGGTGCCACGCTTAAATACTTTCATTTGAGCCTTCAAAAAAATAATTTATTGTATGAACATCAATGTATAATGATAAAAAACGGGTTTATTTTTTAAAAGTATATTTTTTATTTGATTTTGCTGCATCTAACAGTTTTTTTTTTCATCTTTAATGGTACGATATAAAAACAATCCGCCGACTAATACAAGAATAATGTTAACGTTGCACTCTGTACTAAAATTACAAATATAAGTCGAAACTAGAAAAGATTAGATCATTGTTAGCTTCCGCTCAATAAAGGTTCCTTAATTGGCATTATAAAACTGATGACATTTTTCTTTAAAATTAAAATCTATCAAAAATTCGGCCCTAATCAGTTATAAAGAACACCTGTTTCTTTCGTCTCTTCACTTTCTCTCTGAGAAAGCGGAACTAGCTGGAATGCTCAAAAAATAGGAAAGAGAAAAAATGTTAGGAATGTCTGGCACTTTTTGAAATATATATTTCCACTTATCTGGTGTAGAGTAGTTTTATACTCATCACAAGAACTTTCCAATACTTTATATGTTCGATTAATTACCAATACTTCATTAAGAACCATAATATCCATATTTATTTTAAGATTTTCATTTTAATTTTTTTCTCTATTACTAAATATTTTAATCTTATCTTCCAAATTTCTTTTCAAATTTTAGATACTTGAATACTAACTCTAATACCTGTAGACATTTTTCCACCATATCAAACATTCCTTGTGCAGTCTCATTAGAATTTTGAAATTTTGCAAGCCATCTGCCAGGGTAAAAAACTGAACGGATATAGGAAATAGTTTAACGTTTTTTTCTAATCGAGGCATCTAGTTGAATTGAAAAAAAAAACCTTTGGATTGTGATTTTTTATTAAATAGAGAACTTTTTCTAAAGCCTTTGGACCTAGAACATTTAACACAAGGGCTTCACTTTTAGTTCTACCACAAGATAGTTTTAAAGCCATAGAAGAATCTGAAAATAATATTTTATCCAACTTTAAACCACAATCCAAAGAGTTATATGACTGACTATGCCAAACTGTATAATAGATTTTACACAACTCAATTATTATAATATTCGTTTCCTCTTTAATACCTTTTTTATTTAAAAAGCTGTCCATTAGTTGCGCAAAGAAGGACTATTTTTTTTAAAAAGAAGAACGGAAGGACACTAGCCTTTGAAGAAGGACTTTTCGGCCTTTTCGTTGCCCTGATATCCTTCATGACCTGGAACCCAGGCTAGGGTCACCTTATTTTGACTACTTAGCTCTGCCAGGTCTTCTAGACAGTCTTTCACCAGTCGTGATTTGATTTCTGGTGAGAGAAGTGCCTTTAGAGCTGCTTGGCTATCAGAGTATATGGCAATAGTTTTGCCTGATGCTGATTTAATATTTCTCTGTTGCATATATTCCTAAACTTAGCGAAATCGTTGTTTTCGACTTGGGTCCATAGATTCCAGCACCGGCTCCTTCCTTGTTTGTTGAACCATCTGTGTGCCAGACGAGTTCAGCCTGTACGGGAGGTCCCTGTTTCCAGGATTCTCGGGCTGGTATTTGAATTTGAAAATTTCTTTCAAATTTGTATGTGGTTATGGCTCTATCAGTAGGCATTGCTAGAATATTATCCCTTTTTACTTGCTGATATAGCCTTATGTGGTCGGCGCTATGTAGTTGGCTTATTGGGTTTTGTCCCTGCATTAGCCTGTGAATAGCTGACCTGGTTTCTCCTTGTATGAAGATCTCCAGTGGCGTGAGATTTAGTAATACCTCCATTGCTGCAGTCGGCGTAGTGCGCATAGCCCCAGTAGCACTTAGACAGGCAAGCCGCTGAATGCTAGTGAGTTGGCCTATTGCACTTGCCTGTGCAGTTTTGGTTACCCATGCCACTGCACTATAGGTTATCATGGGTCTTATTACTCTTGTGTATAACCATATGGTCATTTTGGGGTTTAGACCCCAGTTTTTCCCACATATTCTTCTACAGCTTACGAGAGCAATTGTAGCTATTGTAGCTTCGTAAAAAAATATCTTTATTTATTATTTGATTACTGAATATCATCAGTAATAATACTACGATCACACATAGAAGTAGAATTTGTTTTTACATAAGAAATATAAAATTTTGAAAGTGTGTTTTGTTGTAGGTACTCGCTGAAAGCGGTGAAGTAGACTACCCTGGTAAGTGTCTAATAAAATAGAATAAAGTTTTGATAGAAAAGAAAACAGAAACCATTTTCTGTTTAACTGAATGAAATTATTTGAATTGTGTAGTGAAAATAATATACACTATTTCTTCGTATTTAAATTTACGTCATTAGATATTTTTTGGTAAAAGGTTCATTTTGCCTATAAAAACACAACGTAATATTGAAATCAACATATATTTTGAAAATTTTACATACACAATTCGAAAAATACATTATAGTCCTTAATTTATTTAAAGTCAATAAAAATTTTCCTTTTTTTTTAATTATAAATAACAATAAAAAGGCACCCTTCATTACAATCTTACACTGTATTTACAAAAGAACAAATATACACAGTTTTTCTTTGGTTTTATTAAGCTGTATGAAGTTTTACTAAACATTTTCAAAATATTTAAGAAAATATATTAGTAAAACTAGAGCAAAAGTGCAATACTGGACAAAAGTGCAATTTTTACAAAATTTTTACACGCTAAATATAAATTAAATTAAAACAAAAACATAAAATAGATAAATTTGGACAAAGTATCTGCACTTTTTGTGATGTATGGTAACAACTACCTTAAATTTCAAAGATTAGGAAGAAAATAACATGTAAAATCTAACAACAACGCTTAAATGTAAATGGATGAAAGAAACAAAGACTTGGTACTTCCCTTCTGTGCATTTAATGCAGATAAAATATTACTTGCTTCATTTTGAGCATACTAGGGACAGTGGCGGCTCGTAACCAAAATTTTGTGGGTTCATAATAACAAAATATAGACCTCAGTACAGATTTAAGTGTTTGGGAAAGGTATATTATAAACACTGAAAGTTTTTTACCTTAACATTTACTGGAATCTATATTATGTTATTGTGAACCACCAATATTTTGGTTACAAGCCGCCACTGCTAGCGAATTACTTTTTTTGTGTTCATAATATCACAATAAAAAACTACATTTAACAGAAATTGCATTTTCGAGTGGAACTTAAGTAACACGCTATATTTTTGATAAACTTCACTTCCTAATCTTTGTTTTTACCTTAGACTAGACTGGTCAAAGTCCCGAACGTTATATACAAAATATGGACAAAACAACTGGCAACAGTGAAAAGAGTTTAATAATGTACAAATACAAATATATACAACCGAAAACAAATGTTACTAGTACAAATGTGACCTAACTCTAAGCGTATATTTTTATACTTTGGTTATTTCTGGACGGACTCGATTCAAAAAAACAATATGGCATCAGAATGGCCATCAAATTCTTTAAAAATGGCAACCTTAAGACACGGGATTAGATATGTTTAATGGCACTTTCAAATTACAATTTTTTAAAAACAAACCAAAATGTTCGATTTTTGTAGTAAATAAATAATAAATAATAAATGAAGCAGAGTATATAAATCTTTTACTATTTTGAATTTTGTTTTAAATTTTATTCTATTCTTGGTATAACTAACTTACATATTACTGTAAAGGATTGTTCTGAGATACCGTTTTTATAATTTTCTCTTATTGAAATTGGGAATGCAGTTTTTTATGTTTACTAATTTGTTATTTATCGGAGAGCAAGAAAAGTAAAACCATTTAAGCTCATATGCCATTCATATACAAATTTTCTCTAACTTTTCCATCAAGTCTTTTGTTTTTAATTACTGCTGCTCACTTCTGTTTTAATATCATCCATACTCAAATCAGTCGACCTATACAAACTAGAAATTATTGATTCTGGTACACTAGGATGTTGCGATTCTCTGTGACGTCTTAGATCGACCTTTCTTTGGAATGCTTTCTCGCAGAGTCCGCAGGAAAATGGCTTGTATCCAGTATGTTTGCGCATGTGCGTAATGAGATTAGATGATTGGCTGAACGCTTTCGAACAAACAACGCACTTGTGTGGCTTTTCACCTGTAACAAAGGATTTAATTAGTAAATTAAGGGTTTCTTTGGGGTGGAGTGGAGATTAAGTGACGTCTGATGGAATCTTGTTTCAGAAATATAGATGGTATATTGGTGGATTAGCTTATATGATGGGATTCAGTTGGAAAGGGTAAATAAATATTAAAAAATGGAAATAAAGCATAAACACTACAGCGTAAAATTTATTAATAAGTGTCGCGACTAGTTTCGGCCTATTTGGTTATCTTCAGGACTACAATACAAATATCAATAATGATAGTAAAGATACGATGTGATAGTTAATATAAAAAAATTGTGGATAATAAAATAATATTTTAAAAATATTCGTGTTTGAAAGAAAAGAAAATAAAACTTTCTTTCACCGAATAATATCAAAAGCACATAGTAAAATGTTGTAGTAAAAGTAAATGACGTGTGACGTATGAAGTTTCAAACAGGAAAGTATCCTCTATATCAGTGGTCACTAATCACAATTCTAATCTAATGCAGAGGGTGGTGCTGCATTTTTTAACAATGTGTGAATTTCTATTATTTCGTATTTTTATTTGAATTTTTTAAATATTATTTTTAATTATTTTAAGCTAAAAATGTGTATTAGTTATTTGGTATTAGGAACCACTGCTCTAGACTGTCAATTATTAAATACTTAATAATAAATCTGTATTCCAAAAATGCCAATTACTTTTCTTTTTTTTTAATACATTTTGATTCCACATTATTTTTTGACATTTTTTTTATTTTTATATTATTTATCCTATTCTTAAATGACAACTTATTAGGCTTAGGTAACTTCTCATACATTTCCTCGTAAATATTGTTTACTTATTTTTTTTAGCTGAAGCAATAAAAATATATAATAATCAATTATTTTTTTTTACATTTTATTAATCCATTTACTTTTTCAAAACGAACATATATTATTTAACTACGAATTCTATTAAAAATTGTATTGTTAATGTACACAAATATCGTCCATTAGTTCATAAATTACTTGGCGCTGCTGTCACGCATGGAGCCAATAGTTAATAGATGGCGAACGCGTATATGGATACCAGGTCAAAAATGTCTTGTTTTACATCGGATGTCCTTGAACTTCGAATCTATGTAAGTGCTATTTATTTTTATATTTGACAGCCATGCCTTTGCAGGTCCAATTGTTCTTTTAATTGTTTAGTTTGCAGAACGCATAGCTTGAATATTTTGTTTTGATTTGCTGTCCTGCTGTACTTTCGCTAGCAGTAAAACAAATCACTAAATCGGCAGGTTTTTGCTTCTGAAACAACAACAATGCCTGCCAAAGCAAACTGTTTTGAAACTTATGCTTGATAAATTTCAAATATTTTCTTTTTATAACAAAATTTCTGAAGATTTGACTACTTAAATCTTTATAAATTTTCATTTATGATATTGCTCACAAAATTAAGTTACATATACATATCTTTTCGATCATTTGTTCTACTTTTAATATTTTTTTGTTAGGGGCGCATATACGGGAGTGAGGCAATGGTAATAATTACCCTCCCCCAAGAATTTTTAAACTTTTTATAGGTACCTACTACAAATGTATTATTATCAAAACTAAAGTCTTAAATACCACCACTACCCTTAGACTTAAACTCTGGATGCGCCACTGTTTTTGGTTTCGATCTTTTCTTACTTTCGACTTCTTTCAATTTCAATCTTTTTTTAGTTTTGTTATTCAAATTTTCGTATTTTCGAATTTTTACAGTTCAAACTATTTTTTTGAAATTTTAATATTCCAAATTTCGCAACTCATATTTTAGCATGATTGATATGAAATAAAAGTCGTTAGGATATATTTACAGTCGACAGTTCGATGATCAAAAAATAATGATGATGAAATTTGACGTATTTGACAGATGAAAAAATAATCAACGAAAAAGTAGGTCTTGTTCTTATTCAGTAAATGGTTTCATTCTATTTCAGATAATACAGCTAGCAAAAAGCTTTGTTTGTAAGTAGCTATATATTGTTTTGCGTGAACTTTAACCTAGCTACTATTTCGCATTTGTTAAATTTACTTTCAATAATAAATACAATACCATAATTCGATCCGTTGTAAACGAGAAGTAATTACAATATGACATCCATTGTTTGCATTTCGAATAATAGAGTGTTTATCATTTAAAATAAATAACAAATAGGTAACGGTTGCATAAATAATGCAAAAGAACGAGAACAACAGGCAATTACTAAATTATCCGTTTGATTAAAAATGATAGAGTCCAGTTGTGATGTAACGTAGATACAACGTGTTACACTGTTTTCTACTAAAACATATTAATAAGGCCCCTAAGGGAGTCTACGAGCTTGAACGAACAAACATTACTGACATCAATTTCAATTAACTTCATGTTAACTTTGCATTTTTCGTTCGGCGTTATCGCTTTAATTATATGCCATTTCCAGTTGCTGTAAAACGGAAGAATTAGGATAGTCGTGCGATGAACGTGTATTCGCGTAAGCAACAAATTGCATGAGAAAAAAAATTCAATAAGCGAAAATCTATTACTCTATTACTAGTTTGTAATGGCGAAACGAAATATTTTATACACTGTTATCCCATAAACATGTTAAAGTTCACTCTCAATTTGGCTAAGAATTGAGGTGGAAAAAGGTTTTAAAATATAATGAATTGGGTGTCAAATTGAAGCTAAAATTACGACGTGCAAAGTGATAAAATCTTTGAAATTAATAAAGGTAAACACTGGGACAAAATTGCATAAACCCAAAATTGCCTTGATTTTTAAAACCATTCTATATCGCCTTTTAATTAGGGTTTACAAACTTGTTTGAGCAATTTATCCAATAATAATTGGCCCCTTTACCTCTTAAGCCTGCTCATGTAAAATATTCGGGCTCATTACTTTGCCTGTTTATATAATATTAATAAAGGACAGAAGGATGAGTAATGCAACTATGTTAAAAGAAATAAATTGGCTTTCAGTTCAGAATTATGTTCAGTACATGACTGATATTTATTTATAAAATAAAAATGACATAGTACCATCGCATCAGATCTATTAAAAAAAACAACATTATATTCTACCTCTTTTTTACATAATAAAAAGTGCTTTGTATAAGAATATTATATTATCTGTCTTGCTGTACCTTTATTTATAAAAAGCCTGAATTGAGATACACTACAAATTATTTGCAATAAATATCGAAAGAAGTATACATTTTTAAATAATTTGACATGTAGGAGCCATTCACATATCACAGTTGACATCTTGATACTTGACAGACACAGCCAAGCATTATTCTGTTTTTGGTCAAATAAAATTAATTATTCTATGGGCTTGCGACAGAGAGCCAGTAAATTTGATGAAGGTATTTTTGGGGCTAGGGGCGAAATAGTAGTACGCTTAAGTTAGCACCACCATTAAAAAAGTAATTTTTAAGAAATTGCTTATATATTTTTCATAAATTGGCAGGCTTGGCTACTAATTTTGAATCAAAATAGCCTCCAAAATGGCTATGGTTGCAAGTATGAAGGTCGCAACCCGCTTTAGAAATTTCACCTTTACTCTCAACAGCTGTTGTTTGACAGGTCGTTAGAGAATGTTTGCAATTTATGGAATTTTAAGAACGTTAGGGATGTTGACGTTAGAAATAATTGGAATTCCTAAAATTGTCACATAAGAAATGCATATGCATATTTTAAGAAAATTGATATTAAAGTATTCTGAAAATCAATAGGGTTCTAAGTTAGAAGTAATTATTTTAGAAAATCAAAACCGCAAGTCAATCAGAACTTTCGTTCTAGAGTTGCCGGCATATATACACACAGACGACCAGACGAAATTTTTTTTTGCATTTTCGGACTCAGAATGATCGGAAACATGAAAAAAAGTTTTAAAAAATGGGAATAAGAAAATGTTTTCGTCTGCACGAATGCAATACTGAGGCCCCATAGAAAGAGCCTCAGTAAAAAATAACTTATAAATAATAACCTTTAAACAAAATATAAATTAAATGGATCGATTCCATATTATTATAGAAAAATACTAAATAAATAGTTTTGAAAACACTATTAAAACCAGTTGAGAAGTTTAAAACGGATAAATTTATAATGAAATTGATATTTTTGTATTTAATTGTATGTTACTTTTTGCACTTCCCGAAAAAAGATTCCTCATAAAACAAAAAATAGTAAACAGTTTATAATAATAACCTTTATTTGCTACTTATGACATGTACCAATGACCAAAACCGGTTCTGTTTATTTTCAAATAAACAAATATGGCTGTCGATAGAATCTTTAAAAATTAAATAACCCACCGAAATAAATGTAAGTTTCCTTTATCGCCGTCATATTTCGCACTTTTAAATAAAACTTTTTACAACACATCTTGGAATTTCCAAAGTTAATTTTCTGTTAAAAATGTTAGAACATGGCCCATTAGACAAATATTATTTGGTCGGCACAAAGTGCCCACGATGTCATTGTTAAGCTGTTAATAATCTTTAGTTATAGTACCACAGTTAGTACTGATTTTTATTTTTTAAGTATGGTCGTAAATAAAATATGGTATGATTTTCGTGTGCGATTATGTTCGCAACTCGTGCTCAATAGTATATCTCCACATACTTGTATCATAAATAACTTGAACCATTTTGAAATAAAATTTTTCGTTTCCTTCATCATTTATGAAAGTAATTTTTCGGTGTTAAATATTTGTAACAGCTGCAATTTGACTACTGTGGATATTCTACAAGTAGCAATAAATCATTTACAAATTTTCATTGCCTTCTTTGAAATAAATCAATGATAACTGAGATATGTTTGCAATCAAAGTCACATTCATGTCGAAGGTAATGCCCGCATACTTTTCGTATTGGAAGATAAAGGCTTGGCCTTGCCACATTTCGTCCCCATTGCAATCGAGAGGTCACCTTTGAGAGAAAATATTGTGTGTCAAGACTACCTTAAATGGGAGCTTAACTTACACATTATTTTATTT